ATTTGGGGACACAAGTGATTTATCAGTTTTCATTGTCTCTTTCAACTACATTGATCAAAACTAGATGTCATCTTTTTTTTTTTTTGGTAATGGGGATTGAACTCAGGACCTTGTGCTTGCAAGGCAGGTAGCTCCTGAGCTAAATCCCCGGCCCTGGATGAAATCATTTCTAAAAACATTGCTCCTAAGTGAGGAAAGAAGCAAGTGGACATGGCCAGGTGAGTAACGGGGAAGCCTCAGCAGAGGGATGAGCTGGATGGACAGAGCCATCCTTCCAGATCTAATGCAGGTACAACATGGCTGCCATATAATTCCACCACCATACAGAAGGGAGGCGTGGGGACCCAGATGCATGGGTTTTAAGGACCCACTTCCTGTCCTCATGTCTCCTGCATCCAGCTTTTTACTCTTGGAGACTGAGGTACCCCATCCCTAATAACAACAGCCTCTTCCCAAGTTCCTATATCTGATTTCTGGTTGGTCTGGTTATTGCTTTCAGTGGAGGGGAGCATGAGGCTGTGGGGGGAACAATATGTCAAGAACATACTTTCAAGTCCAGTACAGGTAACAGTTAAAGGAAATGCTTATAGCAGAATAGCCACTTAGCAAATTTACTGGTAATTCTTCTGTTTACATTTGAATGGTCAGTAATTTTCTAGGTTATGACTTGAGTATAGGTGCCAACACACAAATGTGTGGAGAGGTCCATTTCCATTTTCTGAAATATATGATATGAAATTTTAAAAACACTCATGGAAACATAAAGCACTTGTTTATTATTGCTGTAACCAAGGCAAAAATCTCTTGAAACAATCAGCCTTGATAAGGGAAATAGAATCAGAAACAGTACTCAGAAATTTGCAGTTCATTCTCTGCTGTTGAGACTTCACTATTTCACTACCATCTACCACAAGACCTTTATTACACAGGAGGAAAAAGAGAGCTTGGAAATTATCAAGTGTGGCTTGACCACTTGCCTAGCCCTTGACTTCAGACCAATCACTCCTTTGAACCCATTTCATCCTGTTTTTAAAAAACATGGGAAAGGGGCTATAACAAACCTGCCTACACTGAGGATCAATTAAGAGAACATGGATGGAATTGCAGTAAACTCTAAAAGTTATACAAAATACAGTATCACTAATGCAAGCAGGGAGGGTTCATCATGGAATTCTAAGTTTGTGGAAGCTTGCATGACAGTCACCCAGAATCCTGAATCCTGGGGGAGGACAGGGCAGACTTGGCTCCAGGCTCACTAAAGAAGTGTCTGGCTTGACAAGCCATGTAATATGAACCCAACTATAACCTAGAAACACTGTCAGTTTTATTTGACCTTAATATACATTTATACAGGCAATAATAAAAAGGCTAACAACAATTCAGTGAGTTTTACCTAGTTTTAAGACTAATGCATGCAGTTACAAATTGAGAGGTAGAAACACTGCATTAAAGACCTTAAAAAATACAAACATTATATAAACAAATGTTAAAATTAACTGCAGGAGTTTCATACAGATAAATAAGGTTAAAATTACATTATTTTGTCAAAGTAAAGGAAAACCACGTTTGTTTGTTTCTATCAGTACATTAATGCCAAAAGAGCAATGCCAAAGAGCTTCTCTGTGCAACTGTCAGAGTTCAGATTATTTTAGGTAAAAGGATTAGAATAAAAGGATTAAAACTGGTAAAATGGTTTATTCAAGCATTCAAGCAGGTAAAAAAATGAAACCAAATAATATACAATGTAGAAACCATTCCCAGAAGGATGTTAAGTTAACTGCCTGCATTCTCTATGACTAGATATTTGGTGAACTGTCAGGATTAACATTGAAAACTACACATTAGGGTGGAGACAGCTGCACATTGTCCTAAGAGAAAACACACTTCCTTTTTCAGTAACTTCATGTAGAAACTCCACATCACTAACAAGTCTTTAATAACCACTTTGTTTCAATCCAAAGGAAATTCTCAAGAATATCTTTGCATTCATGATAGTTTTTCTAATACTGCCCAAATAAACCTAGCCCTTAATACACCTAAGGTTGGGGCCGGGGATTTAGCTCAGTGGTTTCGCCACCTGCTATGTAAGTGCAAAGCCCAGAGTTCAATCCCCGGTACCAAAAAAAAAAGAAATACACCTAAGATCACAGGTATCAAGGCACATTTTGCATGCACAATAAAAAATTCAAACAAAACCAAACAATTAGCAACTCAAAATACTACTGAGATCTGTTGGTGTCAATAAACAGGTAAAAACAATGCAAAGGTTCACATGAACACAAGTTTCGACCATCTGAAAGTTCAATAGAGATTTTTTTTATTAAATTCTTTTATTGGTACATTGTAGGTATACAACACAATTACATTTCTCATTGGGAATTGTACCTTTACATAATGCA